TCTACCGCCGCGAATATTCCAGGACGCAACAATAATAAAAAAAAAGTCAAATGCTGTCCATGTGACCAAAAGATTGTGATTTTTCATCCTCTTTGCAGGTTCCCAAATCAAAGGAAAGAAAACAAAGAAAAATAACAACAAAGAAACCAAATCTGGCATAAAAATACGCTAAACAAAATGAAATTTAAAAGAAACGTAGGGAGTAAACTCTGGAAACTATAATATTACAGGCTGCTTAACGGCTCTTTGTGGATTTCAGATATTAATCTCTGAAATTTGAAATTCTTCAAATATTTTTTTAATATTAGTTCATATTTTTCTTTGAATTTAGCCCCATCTGTCTTGTCTTGTCGTGAGTTGTTAATAGCAGCAGATTTTTTTAATAGCAGCTGACTTTTTTCAGAAAGTTAAAAAAGCAGCATTAGCTGTCATGTGCTGTTAGAAACAAAAAAAAAAAAAAAAAAACATAATCTAATTTCTCTTTTCATACGTAATACATTCTTTGAAATAGGTGTGTCAACATAGGTTTTCAGGTTAAGCTCTAATCCAATCCAAAACGGACCCTCTCTGGAATGCTCCGATCTAAAACGGACCTGATTACATAAATGGGTCATATATCTGAGCCCAGATCCGGCCCACCCCAAATCCGAGCCAACCAGACCCGACCAGCGGAGTTGGGGGAGCAAAGAGCAGGCCACAACATGGTTCGAACACGGATGGGAAGGCAGTCACCATTTTATTAAAAATTTTCGAACTAGAAGTTATTCTCTCTTCTCCCTCTCCTTTTTCAGCGAAAATTACAGTTGAAGAATCCATTAATCAATAACTTTATGTCATATAGTCCTTAGATATTGATCAAGAGATTTGCACCATTTCCATCATGACAGGGAACAAAAAAACACACATATGAAGAGCCTTTGAATTAGTAGTTCATCTCACTACTAAACAGAGGGGATAAATACAACATTATCTAGCAGCGTTTTAAAACCGCTGCTATATGTTACTCATATCAGTTATTTTTTTGTGGCGGTTAAAATCGTTGGAAAAGCCCTTCAAAAGAACTGCGAAAGTCTTTTTTTTTTTAGTGTAAATTTTATAATCTCTGTGATGTCTCTGATCCAAAAAAATTGAATATATCTAATTTTAATTTTATTTCCTAGCTCTCCTTAATTTTCAAGTTTATAATGATTTTTATCATCTCCTTTTTTAATTATTATTTTTTAAATGATAATTATTATTATTCTGCCTTAAAAAATATAGTACTGTGTCAGAATGTAGGATGAAGACATTTTAATGTAAAGATTTTATTATATATACATTTTGATGATGAATGAAAAAAAATGGATGAGTTTACTTTTTGTTCAATTAGAAGTTAATTAGTTACTTTGGCATCTTTTTTAATTAAAGAAATCTAAAATGTCATCAAAATTTAGATCTTAGGTTTGATTTATCACCATTCAACTTAATATGATTTGTTTTGTCTTTGGTCATATTTTGTTGGGTTGTGATAATAGTGTTTGAGCTTGTGGGTGGAAAACATGATGTTAGTTTTAGACAATGTAAGATAAATAAGCCTGCGTACGAGTCATCTATATTGAGAAGCTTTGGGCAAATGATCACCATCAGAGGCATTGATATAATGTTTGGGATCCACATGCCTAACAAATTGGTTTAACCCTGAAAAAAACTGTCTTCGAGCAGTTGAAGAGTGTATGTAATGTTGTTGGGATAACGCAATGACAGAAGTGGATTGAAGTGTCTCAAGGCCAATAAAATATTGTTGTGTGCCCAAATCTTTGAGTTTAAATTATGTGTGAAAAAAAAAAAACTTTAAATGAAGTAACAATTGGCTTATTTGGAAATGTAATTATCATCGATTTATACTAATAACAACAACATCATCATCAAGCCTTTATCCCACTATGTGGGGTTGGCTACATGAATCCTTTTTCTCCATTGTGTCTTGGTAAAATTCTCATTTAAATCTAATAAATATAGGTCATTTTTAATATTTTCTAACCAAGTCTTTTTTAGGTCTACCTCTACCTTTCTTAACATAAGCCAAATCTAATACATCTACTCTCCTAACTAGGTCATCAGAAGGCCTCCATTTTATTTAACCAAACAATCTAAGGCGACTCTCTCTAATCTTATCTTCCACTGGAGCTACTCCAACCTTTTCACATATACGCCCATTTTGTATCCTATCTCTAAGGGTAAAGCCATGCATCCACCTGAGCATCCTTATCTCTGCAACACTTAGCTTCATATTATGCTTCTCTTCTAATTACCAACATTATGCACCATAAAGCATTACAAGTCTCACCATCATCTTATAAAATTTTCCCTTTAGTTTAAGTGGGACTTTTCTATCACACAACAAGTCGGATGCATTCCTCCACTTCAATCATCCAACTTGAATTCTATTAATAATATCCCTAGCAATTTCATCACGGTGAAAAATATACCAAATATATCTAAAATGAATACTCTTATTAATGACTTGATCATCCAAAGTTATAATCCTCTTACTAGATCTATTACTATTAAAATTACATTCCATATAAGAAATAAAATTAGAATTTATTTTTTAAATAAAGAATATTCAATTTTTAATTTGAGTAAATCCAAATTGAAGCAAGGAATGAGATAATTTTTCATACCATTGACATAAGGTCTGTTTAATGTTATAAATTAAGTTATGAAGTTTATAAACCATTTTTTTCTGATTATGTTGTTCTAATCTATCTGTCTAACATACTCAGGAGGAAGATCCATACAGATCTCCTCAAATAAGTCACCATGAGAAAAGGCATTATTGAAATTGAATTGAATCAGAGTACAATTTCTTATAGCAACAAAGGCTATAAGCATTTTAACTATGACCATTTTGGTAATTAGGGAGAAGGTTTTTGAAAAATTAATATCTTCCTATTAAGTATAGCCTTTTGCAACCAATCAGGCTTTATGTTTATTATAGTGCCATCAATATTAAATTTGAGTTTAAATGTCTATTTGCAACTAATAGAATATTTGCCTATCAAAAAATAAATAATGGTCCAAGTGTTGATTTGTTCAAGCACACAAGGTTACTCATACATGATAGCATGACATTCCATAAATTTCATAGCTTGGTGATTAAATGTTGGTTCAAAGTGAGGTGAGATACTCAATGCAAATTTCATGTGTTAGGGAGAGTGGACTATAAGACAAATGTGTAAAATAGAATTTTGAAAGTAGTAAGAATGATCTTAATTGTTGTGCAATTAGTTATAATGAAAGCCCTGCAAATATGATGTTACTATAATAGTCCTAGTGGATTCATAAGGTTTAGGTGTGACATTACCGATGTCGACATTATTAGCCTTAGTGGTAAGGAGAGATAATCTTGGTGTTAAAAGAGCGTGAACATGTTCTGAATCTATAGTGGTATTTGTGGTTGGAAGGGCTAGTTTCAAAGATGTAGTTTGGTAAGACAAGGTGATGCCGAAGCTGCTCCGTCGATCACCAGATACCTGCAAGAGATTGAAAACAAAGGAAAAGATGCAATGCAAGAGGCAATGGAACAGTAAACTTTCTATGATATTCTTCTTAATGATCCATTGGACTATAAGACAAATGTGTAAAATAGAATTTTGAAAGTAGTAAGAATGATCTTAATTGTTGTGCAATTACTTATAATGAAAGCCCAGCAAATATGATGTTACTATAATAGTCCTAGTGAATTGATAAGGTTTAGGTGTGACATTACCGATGTCGACATTATTAGCCTTAGTGGTAAGGAGAGATGGTGAACATGTTCTGAATCTATAGTGGTATTTGTGGTTGGAAGGGCTAGTTTCAAAGATGTAGTTTGGTAAGACAAGGTCTGTAAAGGGATCAATAAATCATTGATAGCAAGATTCATGCTACTTGTGAAAGAGAAATCGCTTGGCTTTCCCATGGAGAGGGATTACAAAGGCCCCGACATAGAGAAAAAATAATGAACATTATTGCTAAAGAAAAAAAAGAGAAGCAAGAGATTAAATACACGTAAAAGAAGAGCCTATTTTTATTTCTCTTATTAACTCTATCACAAATACAGCCTATATTTATAGGTTTACATAAAATGATATAGGTAATACTTAGTAAAATCAATAAATATAAGATCACTATTATATTAATACTTTTATAATAAAAAGATACATATTATGATTAATTTTGTTATTACAAATAATTCTATAGAGAATTATGCTTATTAATTGAAAATCAGGGTTTTATAGTCAAGTTGATTAACAAATATTTATATCAAAGAAGGTAATAATTTGTTTTTTTTTTTTTTTTGGAAAATTTGTACCATATTTTGACCCAAGTCAATCCAAACCTTAATCGCAACGGCGGTACGACCACTTGACAGTTTCTTTTCTTCGTGGGTGGTTTCCAGCAAGCCGGTAATAGGTGAGATCGATAGCAATGGCGACCAAAAACAAGCCCGCCTTCAAGAACAACAACAACAAAGGCAAAAAGAGAAGATTTTTGCCCCGCGGCGTAATGCTCTCTTTGCAATTTCTAGTCTTTGATCGAATTAGAATTTTCTTATTCCAATCTTTCTTTGAATTCGCCCAGGAGTGTAGGGTTTCTTCATCACTTGTGATGGCGACAGGGAGCGACAAGCCACAAACGAAGCCCTGAATCTACTTCAATCGGTATGAAGGCTGAGTCTTTTGAAGGGCTTTCTAATTTTCCAGTCGCCCTTGTGGCTCGCCTAATGTGTTATCTTTTTCTTATTGTCCCCTTCTCCGAGAGAATCTGAGATCTTTAAGGGATTTCGTTGTCGTTTTTTTTCCTGGATGTTTGATTTTGGGTTTATAAACGTTCTTCTGCAGCGGACTCCTGCTACTATCCGGGATCAGTGCCGTCAGGTTTTATTCAGTATTCAATATTCGGAATCTGTGCTGTGCCGGTTATTCTGGAATCAGAAATTTTTTATTTTGAGTTTATCTATTTTACTCTGCAAATGCCTCCCGCTTCTTCTCAGAGATCGTTGACAACCCCAAGTATTTCGGTGGCCTCAACAGATCGAGATAAGCCACACAGGCCTGGTAAGAACACACTTTGCATTGATTTGGTCAGCCTATTATTGTTGTTGTTATTGTTTTGGTGATTTTTTTTTTTAATATATACTTCATTGCATACACAAGTAACTTTGGTCCTTTCCACTGAAATTCTAAGTGATATTGTCATTGAAATTAGCAGTTTATTTTAAGAAATCAACTCAAGATTGGCTGTTTGATTTTGACTTGAGCTAAAAATTTGTTGGCTCTGCACATATAAGCACCTCACCTGTACATTTGAGACTGATTTTATTTGGTATCTAAATGGTAAAAAATCTCAACAGCTTGTGAAACATGGCATGTGTTGGATTTAAGTTTATCTGTAGATGATACTCAACCTTACTAGCTAGCAAGTAATCTTAAGAGATAAGAACTTCAAAGCTTAGAGTGAGTATGAAGAGGAATGGAGGGGATTAAAGGAATCTGGGTTAAGAAAATCTCAAAAAATGCTGTAATATATCACAAATAATCCAAAAAGGTCCAAGATGTGCCACTTGACCTTATATTTATAGGAATTCGAGGGCTACAAAGAATGTTACATAAAAAAGGATAAAAAATAAAGTAAATACACATGTCACAACTTGATGGGTGCTTTGTGTGATTCTTCTCTGTTGGCCAAATTTCAATTTTAGGTCAAGCTCCCTTTGACAGAAAGGTGAGCAAATGTTTATAGCAATGAGTCCTCAAAGCGGATCGTGCTAGATAAGTCTATATCAACGAGTCTTTTGGTCTCCTTGGCAACCTCTTGGGGGTAGCCCTGAATTATTTAATCTGAGGGACGAGTGTATCTGAGCTATAGTGATTGTGAGCAAATGTTTGATCAAGTGTAATGGAACATATATGCATCCTCCAAAATAGGTTGCTAGCAGTTCTTTTGAGTTTCTTGTATAAGAAATTCTCTATTGTTAATCCTTCATTGTTGGTCACAAGAACGCCTTGTATGATAGCGAGTGTCCTTGCAACACCATCACCGACAAGGGATGAGCCAGTGGTGGAGGCTATCAAAGTTAGAGCCGCCTGCCTTCCAAGAGACTCCCACTATCAATCACGCTAGATGGACAAACATGATTGGTCAATAGGAGCTTGGAGACTTACCTCAGATGCTTCGTGTCAGAGACACCCAAGTTATGGGTCAGATGATTAGCATGGGCTAAGTATTGGTACAACACCTCTTATCATTCTGCTTCTTAGATGACTCCATTCAATGTGTTACTGGAGGGATCCACTTTACTTAGTGCACTTTGGGCACAACAACGTTCCAGTTTCTTCAGTGGATGAGTACTTGGAGGAGAGTGACATGATGTTGGATGAGTTGAAGAGGCATCTGTTGAGAGCCCAACAGATCATGAAGAAATAGGCAAATGGACATAAGAAAGACATTCAATTTGAAATAGGGGAGAAGATTTCCTTGAAGCTCCAACCTTACAGGCAAAAGACAATCGCCACCAAAAGGAGTGAGAAGCTTGCACCTAGATACTTTGGGCCCTATGAGATATTGGAGAAGATCGGAGAGGTGGCTTACTGACTGAAACTACCACCAACGACGACTATACACCATGTTTTCCATGTATCCCAGTTGAGAAGTGTCATTGGAGATTATGCAGCAAGTTCGGAGTTATCAGTGATACTCACTGAAGACTTAGAGGTGATTTTGAAACTCTTAGAGTTGATGGGGGTTCGCCAGAGGGAAGATGGAACTAATGAAGTACTGATCAAGTGGAGGAATCTCCCAGATTACGATGCCACATGGCAGCCATATGAGAGGGTGAAATATCAGTTTCCTTGTTTTCACCTTGAGGACAAGGTGATTCTTTGGGAGGGCAGTATTGTTAGACCGATCCTTAGTGGATTGGTCCAGCCGGCCCCTTTTAAGGGGTCGGTTCGCGTGTATTAGAGAAGGGGAGACGACAATAAGGAGAGAGAGGGTTTGGGTGGGGTCCACTAGAGTTCAAAATCAAATTTAGGAGCCAAAGGAGAGGGCAACAAGGGCTAGGAGTTCATTTGGCTTCTTGTTGTTATTGTATGCCTTAAATATGAGGGGCAAGATTAGGGTTAGGATTATGCATGATTATTATTTTCTCTTGGAGTCTCTTTTTTATTTTTGGCTCTAGATTCATCGTCTAGAGATTGGGAAAGAAAGATCCTCCTCTTGAATTGAGGATCAATTTTATCTTTGCTTGTTCTTGCTTTTGATTTGATTCCTATAATACAATCTACTATTTTTTTGGATTGTTTTCATTTGAGATCTTGAAGTTTTCTCGCTGTTTTCTCGCTGTTTTCACCAATTATTGTTAGGTTTGCTTGCGTACTCAAGTATTTTCTATCAACTACATCCTCTAAGTAAACTAAAGATTATGATAAATCGAGACAATGCAATCATAAAATCTTTATTAGATTCGTCACCATCTCACTACCATTCGCTTTAAGTGTAGGGTGGTAAATTTCAAATTACAATATCAAATTTAGTAATATTATATGATCAATACTTTGTAACCATTTGATGATTAGCCTTAATTAAAAGTTCTCTCTCATGATCGGAAGGAATTATTAACAATAGGAGCTTGTGCCTATGAGAAGCCAGAAATCAGATCATAAAATTCTCATAAAATGAGAGCGAAATCTATTGTTAGTGTATTGTCATCAAACGAATCTACCTTCTGAAAAATTTGACCCATCACACATTCCTAAACTTTACCAACGAGAGGCTGGTCGTGGATTTTTGGAGCCCACAATATTATGCCAAAATTCATTGTCCCTTCTAAATATCATAAGATTCTCTTTGAGGTTCTATGGTGAAGATTATTTTTTAATTTAAAATTTTTGTACTAGAAGCAATGAAAAAGCTAACCCAAAATGAAGCCTAAACTTGAAATTTGAATAATTATTCATTAATTTTTAGCTAAGAATTATTTTATGTTTTTCATATATATTGACATTGACAATGCAATTAAATATATTTCATATATTAAAAAAATTATCAAGACAACATAGCATACTTTAAGTTTATTAAGATTAATAAAAATCATGAGGAATTACAGACAAAAAAGGAATATGATGTTGAATAGAAGTTATTTAAGCAAAATTAATTATATTCTATTTAAAGCAAATTAATAACAGAAAATAGAATAAAAGCGAATCTATCTTTATTTTTGTTCAGATTTCGAATATTCAGTAAATATTAAAGGAAATCCAATATTCCTCCTCACCTATAAATTATCGTGGCCGCCGCTTGATTTAGAGCATCATCGCGAAATCCTCTCCTCCTCTCGCATGCAAAGACACAATCCTCTGGTCCGACGTTTTCTTCGCCGACTTCTCTTCCGTTCTGTGTACTTAAAGCGGAAGGAAGGAGTAATTTCTGTGATTTTTTTTTCCTTTCAATCTGTTTGTTCTGCGCAGCGTTGGAGGTTATTGGAACATGGGCAATAGGCGGTGGAAGAAAAGGGCGCCGGGTTGGCAGCGAAGGGACGCAGAGTTCCACACAATGCTTCGGATGCTCGATCGACAGTCGATGTCTCCTGGTAAAAAATATTTTTTTTTTTCAAATAAAAAAAAATCTCCTTTTGTAATCGAATGCTGTCCTGTTGCTTTTTTAGGGTTCACGATTTCTCCCTGTTTGCGATACTTGTCTGCAGTGTTTATTTATTTATATTGGTTTGGTTGATTCTTAGCGATTGCGGAATCATTTGGGCCTAAAAATAAAGAAAAAAATTTTAGTTGTGCGTATATTTGCTGAAATTGACTTTGGATTTATGTGGTGATTTATTTCAAATATCTAACTCGTATACGCTAATCAATCCATTAATTTCATATCCAACAAGTTCTAAAAAAAAATCATATTACAGTCATCACCTACATAATTGCTCAACAAATTAAACATCGTAAGAATTTATTCATACAAAAAGAATAACTAAATGGTGATTTGAAAATCTGGAAATAAATCTAGACATTATTTAATAAATAAAATCATGAATTTAAGGGATTAAAAAGGAAGAAGAGTGATCTTTACCATCCAAAAACCAATTTCAGAATGTAGGGACCAATAGATTCTCCATTTAAAAAAAAGAAAAGGAAAGTAAATCACCACAGAAATCCAACGGCAATTTCAGCAAATATACATCACAACTAAAATTTTTTTATTTATTTTTAGCCCCAAATGATTTGGTCATCGTTAAGAATCAACCAAAACAATACAAATAAATTAAGAATTTATTTTGTTGATCATGTTGAATTCGACAATTTAGGGTTTAAACAGGCGAGTTAGAAATTAGCACTTTTAGTGCGATTAGACATTGATTAGCCTAATCATCTAGTAAATCTTTTTTTTTAGGACATTATAGGCTTATAGCCAATTAAGGCAGACTCACACACACATGACATATACAAGACTCGAACTAAAGACCTCTTAGTTGGTAGCCTAAGTTCCCAACCAACAGACCAAGGTGAGTTGTGTAGTAGTTAATCAACTACTAGTATTTTCCTTAAGACAACTAAGGATTAGTAATATTTGTAATCCGGAATTTTCTCTCTACTATTGTTGTTTCCTGTAAAGTTTAATGATAAATGAGTTTCCTATATTGTTCTCTTTTATGGCTTATTTTTAGGCATTTTTGTATTATCATATAATTCAATTCAATAAAAAGTATTGCAATTCTAATTTCTGTTCAAAGGCATAAATAGCCTTTTTTTTATACATGAAGAATTGGAGAATCATTAATGAATGGAAAATACATGAGCTTTCCATCTCACTCTTTGAATTGCAGGGCCTTCTTTTGAGTCAGCTCCCAATTGGGAGAAGAGATTCTGCTCTCAAATGAAATGGAGAGACTTCTGTGAAAAGAAGAGAGTGGTTCATCTTTTCCCGAAAGTGCTAGATTGGGATGACGCGGCGGGAAAAGAGGCCTTCGACAATGCTAAAGCTCGTTATTGGGCACAAATTAATAATCTCCCTTCGGAAATTCCATCGCCGGATCCAGATATGTACGTCCAAGAGGTTGATTATGACGCTTATATTGACCCTTCGCTGCTAGAAGATTTGTACGAACTGCCGCCGCCTCCTCCAGAGACTCCAGACCCGAGTTCCATTAAAATTAGTGAAATTATACCAACTGGATGGGATGTGGAGGATCCTCCAATCAACAACATTCCAAAATATATTTTTATCAAACCATCCACAGCTGATGACATAGTTGATAATTCTGCTCCAACTATACCTACAGGATGTGCTGATGGTGACAAAATTGACATTACTGCTGCTTCAATTACCATCATTCCTACAGGTTGGGGTGATGAGGAAAATGTTGAGCCCAACAATGCTGGAAACAAGAATGTGGAAAATGTTCTTGGAAATACAGAGAATCATAGTATTTACTGGCAACAAGATAAGAGAAACGATACTATGTTTTCTAGTGAAAAACTCAGTTCCTTTGAACAAAGGATCGACTCCCGAGATCGAAGATATCGAAGGAGTGGCAGAGATCAGTTCTTCGATTTAAATCCTGCAAATCTAAGGTGTCATGAGCAAGGTTATCATAAGGAGAGATGGACAAAGTACATCAAAGAGCAGTATTTTTGGCGTCAAAAACACTCTTTGGCTAGAGGGCTCTCTTGTACACCTGAGAATAATTAGCTAAACACAGAGGAGACCTGAAATTCTTTAGAAAAAAGAAAACTTTGGAGGTTCTTTACTTGATAAACTTCTTTGTTAGCAGGAATAGGTATAAGAACTTGCAAGGAAGGCAAAGTTCAGTTTTCACAGATTTCTTTTATTACTAACCTTCTTATGAGCTAGTATGAGCTTGGTAACATTTGCATAGGCTTTTCGTGGGATAACGGTATTTTGCCGTAGAAATTCTTTGTAATGTTTGATATTTTGTGCTTGGCTAATTTGTTTCTGTTCTTTCAAGTGTATGACATTCTATTATTTGTATTAATTTTTGTTGCTGGCATAATGTGTTATGGTATTCAATTTTTTATTCTTTTTCAAGTATTGTTTTTTCTCTCTGATCTTCTCATGGGTACTAAATTTAGGCTTCGTTTGGGACGACTTTCTTACTACTTCGTAAAATAGCTTTTTAGTACAAAAATTATATTTTTTGTGCTAGAAAATTACTTTATGAAGCAATAAGAAAACCGTCTCAAACGAAACCTTAGTCGACGGCGAGTAACCAAGTATGAGAATGGCTAATTCAATCAAGGAGCCACTTAAGCTAAGTAGGTCCAGGTATCAAATGGCTTATAACGTTTTTTTAAATTTTGATGCCTACGCTGTACTTGGTGGGCAAGTAGCCTAGACGGGTAAAGTTGATCTTCAAAGTAGCGTTATATGTTTGAAATTTACAACTTTTTTTATGTCGGTTCTAAGAAAAAGGGTTTCTGATTCTGGGAATCAAATATCTGTTAAGGTATGTTCGAATCTGAGTTATAGAGAGGAATTACCGAATTAGAAAGGATTATGGTTTGTGATGTTAGGAGACTAAGAAACAAACATATAAAAATGATCAAAGTACAGTGGAGGAACAAAATGAAAAAAGAAGCTATATGGGAAAAGAAATCTAAAATTAAGCAGTTGTATCATGATATGTTATGAGGGTTTAAGTTTTAGAATGTTGATGATGATATTTTTTTAAGAGGGGCAAGTTGTAATACTTGGAAAGTTAGCGTGCTGTTCAACCTATTCTGATCTAACCAAATTCAAGGTTATATGTTAAATTTTTGTAAATGTCTAGAAATATTTTGTGTGCGTATGAGAGTCTCCATGTATTTTGAAATGGATTCTAGGGGTATGTTTACATATTTGGAAAAGTTTGAAACCAACGCTGGTGGGCAACGCTGCACTCGGCCTTAATTCTTTATTTAAGTATCAATTTTGATTAAAATGTCAATCCATTTATTCCTTAGGGTTGTCACCTTATGTGTGTGTGTGTGTGTGTGTGAGAGAGAGAGAGAGAGAGAGAGAGAGAGAGAGAGAGAGGTGTATTT